ACGTTCAGTTTTGAAAACGATGACGTCACCAGAATCACGTGATTTCCCTGGCCGAGTTTGCCAAAATGACCGGTGATTGCTGAGTTTTTAAGACGGATTCCGCTCAAAGTTCGAGCAATAAGTGCAAAAAATATTTACTAAAAATCCACTCGTTGCACGGTAACTTTTGGAATACTATTTAAAACAATTCACTTTAGTTCATTTCTCTAAGTGACCCCGCGATTAAATTCTCAAGCATTCTCGAGAAAATTAATATGTCAAACCTCGTAAGAATGGCTAAAGCGTGTGTTATTGTGTTTTTAACTAACGCGAAACGTCTGTTTTAATTGAAATATGGTTAACTTCAAGTTCAATTTTCTCTCGCGGGACCAGCTTGAGAGCTTAAGTCGCGATAAGTTCTTCTTAGCTGTATTCAAAATATTACCATGCCATGAAGTTCTTTTGGTAACTTAATTTTTGCCATTACTGCTAGAATGCTTTAAATCACCTTAAATTCCTCCGGCGTAGTGAAGACGGAAAATAGTTGACGCGTTTTCAGAGTAAAACCTCCGTTTTCAAATTCTCCGGCGTGGTGTGGGCGGGGCCCAAGTCACCAAAAGGTACTGCGCAGAAACAGAAGTTTCCAAAAGTGTGTTTCTTTTCTTTTTGTTCCAATAAAGAATACTAGGTTCATATACGGCAAATTAAGTTGTAGAACTTAGCCTCAAGTTTTGTAATGCTTTTTTTTCCTCTGATAGAAAAGTAACAGGAAAGTTTGCTTAGTAGATCTGTTAATGTGTTTATAGACAGTTCCCAGCCCTCTATTTTCTCGTCAGTCTAATGTGTTTATGGAAAGAAAGAAATGGTTGTAAGGAAAATATCCGAAGACAATGTACGAATCTATAACATTAAAATTGTGACCACTGTTCAACAGTAGTTGAGACCGAATGCCTGTTTTTTGCGTCTCCAAAGCTGTTTTTTCACTCATATTTTCATGCCTAGTTTAAGACGAAATCCAATCGAAAATCGAGTAAGTTCAGTTTTTATTGGGCAAAAACCATGTACCAGAATAACGTTTAGTATTTTACAGTCCTTTTTGGAATTTCTAAAAGCTAAAGATATAAATAGTTGCCTAAAATAACAACAAAAACAATTTCCCATGTGAACTTGAGAAAATCAGTAAATTTCAAAGTTCAGAGAAATTGTGCGAACACAGGTAAAATTTTACCATCAGTTTCATTTCACCAGTACTTTCAAGTGTTTCTAAGGAATTTCAAAATTTGCTTTCGACATTTGGTGTTTTAAGAAATTATTTCTTTTGAGGACATATTTTGAACAGTCGCACGCACAGAAGTTTCCAATACAATGTAGATAATCTCGGTAAAAAGTTTTTGTCCACTTGTTACTCGCCCTTGTGGCCATAGTGGATTCCTTTTAAGTTGCCATGGTGACGACGTAAACAAGCCAGTAGTCCACACATGTGACGGAAACCGGTGGACTATGCAAAATTCCAGATGAGCATTTATTTTCTTATAAACCAATTGTAAAAAATGCTTTAGAACACAAAGGCGAGTGC